AAGAAAGAGCAAGATCCTACAGGTTGGAAGATGTTACAGTGTATTGCAACGGAGAGGAGATGGAAGTAGTGTCAGATTTCACCTACCTTGGTTCTGTTATGGATCGGTCTGGGAAAGTTGATTCAGAAATTCTGAACAGGATAAGCAAAGCATACACCATATACTAACAGATCTGCAATACTGTGATTGGAAAGAGAGAACTGAGCAGAGGATTGAAACTGCAGATATTTAAGGCAATATACCTGCCTGTACTCCTGTATGGTGCAGAAAGCTGGGTGCTGAATGACAAACTGGAATGAAAAGCCACTGCTGCAGAAATGAGGTATCTCCGAAGATCATAGGGAGAACGAGACATGACTGTATTTGCAATGAGAGAATCAGGAGGGAATTGGGGGTTCCCCCGACGAAGGATGTCCTAAATCTCGGCAACTTAAGTCGTTGCTAAAATAGGCACATCATCCAGATGGAGGAACATTAAATTTTATAGTCCATTAAACTCTATGGACTATGTCCCCGATGGTAGAAGACCCCGGTCACCTGAACAATGTGAGGAAGTACTGTTACAAGGCTAATGGTTGTGCAGGGAGGTGATTGGGCCGATATCAAGCTCAATCGCCAGGTTTCCTCCATTAATTAATTATTTATGCTACTTTAAAGAGACTGGGTGTGCCCCAGGAGGGCCTGTCGACCCCAGGATCGATCCACGGCTAATGAAAAATTTCTAGTCACCAACTGGACTCGAATCTGGGACCTTGAGCTGTGGAAGTCAGTGCTCACCCACTGAGCTACAGCGCTCCCTTGATAAAAGTTAATATTGAAATAAATTACTTAATTATTATCTGTTGTTTGTTTGAATAGCTAAAAAAAAGTAATTTTTGGATAGACTTATTGGTAAAATCAACAAAGCTTTTTAAAAAAGTTCAAAAGTTTAAAAGTTCTATAAAATCTTTACTTAAAAATGTTCAAAAGGGAAACCGATTCTAATTCCGAAATAATAGAAAAAATAAATAAATATTCCAATCACCGAAACTGATTAAAAATAAAAGATAAATTTCGTTTCGAGCAATGATTTAAAGTCATCATTGAGCGAATTATTCAATGATTGATACCTGTTGGACTTAGCTTCAATGTACAGTGAGATCTAACTGATTCTGAACTCTAAAGATAAAGATCGTACTGACAGGATCACGGCTCCATCCGGTAGGAGGGCCCATTAGGAGCGGTGTACCACAAGGTCCCATTTCGGCCCTTTGGTATGCGCTACAGCCATCTTTCATTCAGCTCATGTCAATTCTCTTACTGTCTAAAGGCAATAGCTAGTTTAGAACTATCGTTATGTAACTATATAAATTCTTATAATACTAATTTAAATTAAATCACGACCCCAGACTAGCCTCACTGAATTTACAGGCCGCGGCAGACCGAGAATATCATACCTTGAATACGTAGACAGTCTGTGCAAAAATAGAAATAAGAATATACGCCAAGCCAGAAATCTTTCAAGAAACAGGGAACATTGGCAATCCTGCTTGGATACTCACCTACGCTGAAAGGCACTATAGGGTGATGCAAAAGAAGAAGAAGAATTTCAGAAGTCATATAACAAATAATTTATAAATGTTAGTCTGTAATACACAAAAAAAAAAAAAGTCATATCATCTATACATATAATTATTTAAATCACTATAGATTAGATGCCTTATTTTATTTAGCTAAACTGTATTTGATGTTCCTAACTGAAAGAAAATTTCTTGTCTCTTTCAACCATATCAGATTTCATGAAAGATCATTTTTGGAAGAGATAAGAGGATTTTAATGTATAATAATCAAGAATTAAAAATAAAAATATATTACAGTTTAATTTCTAAAGAAACTGTTAATAATCGAGTAATGATTAACAGAGATTTTTTTTGTTGTTACAATTGAGGTTTGGAATGGGCCTCTGAAAATCTTTCAGCAGTAAGGTATACTTAGACTTTGAAATATTAATGGTTATATATAAGCACTATGTTTTTCAAGGACACTTAATGTACTTATAAATGGTGTCATCATGGATTTAATTGCCCTTGTAATTTTTCCATTTATTAACGTCATAACGTTTTGAGCCAATTGGCTCATTTTCAGACTATTAAAAATCTATAACATTTCTAACATATTTCCTTATTACATAATTTTACTACAGTTTATTTTTAGTCAAATAATATAAAAACAACAATGTTCCTCGCATTTTATTTGCATTTAATCAAATGCATGTCAATTCAAAAAACCTGATACCCAGTTGTACTTTCTCCTTCTATTGTTTAAAATGGGCTGTCTTTATTAAAATTAGCTAATTGACTCAAAATGTTATTATGACCTAAATAAATGGAAACTTATATGGATGTTTTCATTATTTATATTACTAATTTATTAGTGATAACATTCTCAGATTGGCTGTTTTGCGCTGAATTGTTATTCATGTTCTTTATTGTTTCTCATAAGAAATACTAATTTGTCTTTCCTAGTCTTCGATATCAAATGGTCACTTTTTAAAAAGTGATAAATAAATTCTGGTTTTATTTTCATTACAGCAAGCATAATAAAATTGTCGGGATGAAACAGGTAAAATAGGTACTAGGAAGGCTAGAGATTTGAAAGTCTGGTACTGCAAATTACCTTAATAAATAATACATCATACAGCACAAAGTATAATAAGCACCTATTGCTATAAAAATGTAACTATTGCTTATTATCATATAGACAGTACTGTTCACAGGTAAAGGCAGACCATTAATAAGGATGATAAAAATTTAAATAAATTGAAAGGGTTAATAAAAATCTGGTGCGCGCAACACACAACATTCACTTACCGCTCAACTTTGAATAGAAATTATTTTCTGGCCATGTTGGACTATTATAAAATTTTGAATTGTATTTTTAACCGAGCTTATCCATGTATTTTTCTTTTATTCTCCTACATTCAATTATCAAATTCTTTCAAAAGCTATATTTAGCATTTTTTCATAACTCCAAACAATGAGAAATAGTTATTATTTAAAATAAACCAAATTGAAGGTGCTTTATATTATAGGAAGATACGATAATTTTGGGATTTCACAAGGGGAAAATTCATCCAATTATTCACTAATTTAATTTTTTAAAAAGGTACATGACGATTTTTTGGAATAAACGGATGTTGATACCTAATTATTTAAATATAATATTAGATCTAGAATTATTAAACTACAGTAAATGTATTTAAGATTACAAACATATGCTTTATACATCCATGAAATGATCTGATACTTCACTTATTCTTTCATACCAAATACAATGAAATAGTTTTTTAAACAATGGTGTTGCTTTGATTAGGTGGATTTTAAATACTTTTTTCAAACTTAACATTATTTTAAAAGTTTACATTTAGTTAATAAATTTCATTCCATTTCCTTGAAAACATGTGACTAACATAAAAATAAAAACGTGTTTCAGCGTTGATATAAAGTGGCATTTCCGGTTAGCCGATTTTAAGGAAAAAGTTGCTATCACATGTAAGGCATATATCTATCTTAAATACGTAATATCAGTTTTGTACAACTTTTCGTTTTTGAGCTAGACTGCTAACACACACACACAGACCATTTTGTAGGACTTGGTTATTTGGACTCAGAGTACCTCAAAATGTGTATCTCCCTCAGATTCGGAAATTTTCATGATCGTAATACTTTCCCTTATTATAGCGTAGTTTGGAGACCCCTGATTTAACCTAACATGTCAAAAGACTCACTAGCTTTGGCATTCCATGAACACTGTGATAAATGAGATTTTAGGCCATTTATCATTTACATATAAAACTACCATGGTTATATAACAAATAAATTATATTGAAAAATGTGATACTTTTGATCATCTTCGAATGTTATTTGATCCTGGCTCATTTAAGTCTAACAATTAGAAATATTTAAATTAAGAAAAAAACAACACTAACATTCAGAGGGAATTTGTATGATCACATGATTATAATTTCTTTAGGTTATCTTCAAATCTGGACATTGAAAGCATAATGCTAACATTATATTAATTTATTGATTATTTAGAAATCTAACTGATTGTTCAAATTATTTACTTAAATGTTGATTTTAATTTTGCAAAACACATTTTATTCTTAGAGTAATATTAAATCATGGCAGTATATACTTATTATTTGTATAGAAAATTAACATTCTAGTTGATTGAGAACAGCTTACAGATAGGAACACCCTTATATTGTAAAAACGAAATTTTACCACCATGATGAAATAATCTCAGTTGATTTAATTAGAGATGTACCATACACATTTTGACAATAAATGAATTTAACTTGTACTGATAGGTACTGTTAAGTGCCCTTTTATATGGGAAGGACGCGTGAACCTATAGGTAATCAACCTGTTCTTGCTAGAATGAGAAGATCAGACATTTATTCGGTTTATTGTTAAAGTCAGTAATTACATTTTTAATGGAGCTTATTTTTTAAGTATGTTTTTGTAAATTTCTAGCTTATCTATTACTGCAAAAAAACAGCAAATACATAAAAATGAGACAAACGTTTATATATATATATATATATATATATATATATATATATATATATATATATATATATATATATATATATTAAAATTTCTAACACTAAGTGGACAATTGTCTCATTTCACTGAGGAAAAATACTTCAAAGTACTTCATGATTTAATTTTCTGACACGTTGCTTAATAACTTTTTGCAATAAACCTACGATATACTGATCGATTGCTTACTTGATACTGAACACAACACAGCAATTCACATGCTTTAAGAGAAGAAATCTGTTGATGCAATACTGATGATTAACTGAACAACAGTTATAACAACATTCACTAAAGTAACCAGAATCGAAAATGCATCAATAATAGAAAATGGAGTAACTGTTTACAGAAGAAATTCAAGTAAAAGGTTTATGGTAAAAAAATTTATAAATACGATATTAATTAAATTTTTCTTACACATTGTCTCCTCTAATGATGTGAAGTCCTAATACTACTTGTTCGACTCCTTGAGTTGTACTGTACACTCTCTCGTGACTGTCATCAAGAATCAAATTAATTGTCTGGTCAAAGCCTTTCAATGTCCCCTATTAAGAATAAACATTCATGAATACAGTGTATACTTGAACATAACAAATAAGGCATTACAAAAACTGAAAAATGATGATTACTATCATAAATTACAAAAAAAAATTATACCACAAAATTTCTTCCATCTGTTGTAACAATTGATACAGTATCTAATTTCATAATAAGAAAAATGTCATTTAAAAGTATATAGATATATAAAAATTATTTTTTAAAGTAATTTAAATTATTTTTATAATAAATAACTGTAGAATAAAGGATACGGTTTACATAACTTTCCAGGCCAGATGCCATAACTATGTTGTCAATAAAAATATCTTCGAAGACTAAGTAATATTAAGTACTTTCAATGTTGAAACCTATCTTTTTCTCCGCCCGGTTCGTTGTTTACATTTTGCGTGCCAAAGAGGTATACCTGCAGATCCGTTTTTACCTCTTTGTTTTCAACAAACCGATTCATCAAGTTTTATTGTCTGAGCAAGCTTTATATTATTGATACATAATATTTAATAAACATTATTACTTATAATGAGGTAAAATGTTAACCACTAAGTTGTTTTTTTTTCTTATTACAATAGATGATCTTTAACTGATGAATTTGTTTTATCTGTTCTGGTAATGCAATAATATTATTTTAATATTAATTATTGACATTTTAAATTTTAATGATAGTTCTAGATAAAATAATGTTGTTATTTGTATTATAATATATATTATTATTAGGTAATTACTTATTTTATTGCGCACCTTATTATTTATTTTTTTATTGGATTACCCCCCTACGTCGCATGGTTAGGGGGTTTCTGGCATATGCGGAGGGGGGGGGGGCTGTTCTAGAGTAAGGTGAACAGACGACAAACGCCAAAAGCGGTACAATCCCAATTTTTAACAATTTGTACCGCGTCTTTTTCAAGAAGTTCCAATTTTCGAAAAGAATGCATGGCAAGCTAGGGAACGGCAGGATTAAGGAAGAGAATACAGGGCTTTTGGCGGTCATGTAGCTATTTCATAATAATATACTTTAATAATAACGAATAATAATGGTGCTGGAGATGCCGAGTTTACGTTTGCCACATATCCTAGCGAAAGAGGTGATAACTAACAGAGTTTATTGGTACCGAAAGTGGTTACAATTCGAGGATAGTTGTAAAACTAATCTTGATACTGCAAACATCGCTGATCTACGCTGAAAATTGACAGTAGTTAGACATAGGGTAGAGGACTTAGAAAAACAAAATAACCTTCAAAAATGTCTTCATTCAAGTTTTCCTGTTTACGTTGGACTATGTTCAGTGGGCACTGTTACACCCTATCTTAATGATAGTTTTGATATTGTGAATATAGGGTCAATTTTTCGATGTAGGACAGAATTGCTCGATTTAAGCGTAAAACCATGGATGGTAGGGGACAACTATTGTTGTCCGGTATGTAACTCTCAAGAAAAAGAGGACATCGTTCACTTTTTGGGGACTTGCCACATGTACAGTGAGCTAAGAGAGAAATGTTTTGGGCAGCGGACCTGTTCTCCAGAAGAATTACTTGGTTTCTTAAAGAGTTCTAATTGGAAAGCCTTAAGCATTTATGTACAGCAGGCCACATTGCAAAGATCTCAATTGGTCAGATAGTAAACTATTGATACAATATCATATTTATTTATTGTAACGTTTGTTATATTGTTATATTGTATTTGATGGTTATTATTATTGTTGTTGAAATTAAATTTCTTATTTATTGGATTTATGATGTATTGATATTTGTTTTTTGAAAACTCTATTTAAAAAAATGAAACAGTGAAGAAGAAAATTGATAGAATGGATGTACAAATATATAATAATACTGTAGATATATTATTACTCACTTATTTTAGTTATAAGTGTGATGAATATTTATTATTAATTACATACAGACCTCGACAGACGGAATTTTCCATTGTCTATGTGTTGATGCTTGTATATATATATTACTTTGTTAATTTTTTTTTAAAAATATAATAAACACGTTTTCATTCATTCAATAACGAATAATTGATAATAACTGATTATCGAGAACTGCTTAGCAAAGTTCGTATTGCTGATCACTTGTTAGGATTCAAACACCATTATATGGACTTAATGATACTTAACAACCCAAAACTGGTAATATCAGATCTAGAATTAGGAAACTGCAGTAAATGTATTTAAAGTTATAAACATATGCTCTATACATCCATGAAATATTTTTATATTTCACTTATTCTTTCACATAATTACTATGAAATAGTTTTTTAAACAATGCCTTTGTCTTCATAGGTGGATTTTTCAGGGGATCTCAAAACGCATTTTTTCGTTGAAAACTCAGATTCGAAATTTTCACGATCGTAATACTTTCCTTTACTATATATATTACATTTACATATAGTGAAAGTAAAAAAATAATACAACCTGAACTACAGAATAAATGTAAATCACAGTTATACAATTGGAGCAATGAGAAGTACAATTAAAAGAAGAGTAGTATAATTAGTAAAATGGTGATTGGTCCATCGCCAGGTGTGCAAGGGGTATCCTCTTAGATGGTTAAAATTTAAAATTTCATTTTCCTTGCCAAAATTAAAAAAAAAATCAAGGTTTCTTTAAAAAAAATAATAATCATGGTGAACCCAAGAAAGGTTTGTTGTGAAATATTGATAATCTAGAATTCCATTACACGATCAGCTGAGGGCCAAGATCGTGAGGGTTCACTGTTGCTCACCGATGTTCAGGTCGTGGTTCATGGTGAGCATCTTAAAGCCAGTCGACCGAAGGATGAGAGGAGAGTTCTACATAACATTGTATTATGAGGGGTATGGACCTAACTAAGAAACATAAGTAAATAAAAAAAATATATTCGTACCTATTACAAAAAAATTAATTTGTAATATGATAAAGGGATGTATAGTACAGGAAAAATAAATGAAAAAAAATTGTAAATTTATGAAATTTGATCATAACTTCATCTTGGCAATAGGAATCGGGCTCTCCAGAGTCCGTTCAAATTTCAGAGGGATAAGCATTCTTGGCAGAGTCGATGTGAGGGAGGGCGGATTATTTAAAAAATAATTTGAAATCAAGAAAATCAAATATACTTTAAAGGAAGAAATGTGGGATTTATGCACATTCAGACTGTTTAATGCGGTTAACACCCACGTGATGTTAAACTGTCTAATTTTACATTTATATAGTGAGTTATTTTATTTACATTTATATAGTTGGTAAAAATTGTTTGAGCTGGTTTTGAGAAAATTTCAAAAAATTATAAATCTGATGAAATAAAGTAATAATTCCGGTTAGTCACCTTTTTAGAGGTTCTCATTTTATCTATAGAGACCGCAGTGAGGTTAGGCCGAGCTAATGGAGACTGAGATGGGCAAATGCCCTTCTGAGTACTGAGTACCAAACATTTTACTCAAATAATGATTTTTTGAGTTCCAAAGAATTTAATTACTACTCCAATTGATGTCAGACGGTTAACTGAAGTAGTGATTGAATTCTCAATAGTGATTGAATTTGAGTAAAATACTTGGTACTCTGTACTCAAAGTAGCATTTGCCCATCTCTGACATTAAATACACACAACTACATAGAAAAAACCTAGTGCGATGCGCGCATCACACAACTTTTACTTACCATTCTTTTCTTAGCAGAAATAAATATTTTTAGACAGAGTGAAATGAAAGTAAAAAAAAATTATAGACTTTATATTTATTTATATTCCATTATGGGTATTTTTATTTGTATAAGTACCCTCATATATACAAATTTTAATATTTATATCACTGTAATTTATACAATTAAATATTAAATATTACTGACAATTGCATTTATGAAAACCACATATGTATATTAATATAATATTGTCATAGTCCGTATTATATTAATTGCATGACATGTATGAAAGCGTGACAAGCTTGGATTTGCTCGTATCCCTTTGATTCCTCAATTACAACTATTCTCACTTACGATCTCTTATTTCTTTTTTAACTATTTATCAAATTCTTTCATATTTTATATATTTAACCATTTTTCATATTAGAAATTAATGTGAAATGGTCAATTGTTTCAAATAAAAAAAAATTAAATGTACTTTAGGAGAAGCTAATATTGAAAATTAGTAATTTGAGCCCTGTTAGAGAACATCAATCAGAATAAAAACTACATTTTATTTAAAACTGATTATTTTTACTCTGATGTAATGAATTTAATCAAAATCGTTAGAGCCGTTTTCGAGAAAATTGTAAAAATGTGTTTAGGCCATGTTATAAAGTGCCACTTCCGATTTTTAAGAAAAAGTTGCATCCCTAGCATATGAAAATGTTAAATATGCAATTTCATTTTCGTACTTTTCTTTTTTGAGCTAGACTTTTAACACACAGACCATTTTGCGAGACTTGGTTATTTGGAATCAGGGGATCTCAAAACGTGCATTTCTGTTGAAAATTAAGATTCGAAAATTTTCATGATCGCAATACCTTCCTTTACTATATATTTGATATATAGGTATGTGAAAGCAAAAGGTACTTAACTGCCTTTGCCTATTTATATAATGATTTTTTTTTTCACATTTTGAGCTCGGATGCGATCGTATTCCTTTGGTTCCCCAATTCCAACTATTCTCCGTTGCGATCTATTATTTCTCCTTTAGTTAGTTATCAAATTCTTTCATATTGTATATTTAAATATCTTTTATATTAGAAATTAATGTGAAATGGCCAATTGTTTCAAATAAAAAAAAATTGAATGTACTTTAGGAGAAGCTAATATTTAAAATTAGCCATTTGAGCCCTGTTAGAGAACAGCAATCAGAATAATAACCACATTTTATTAATAACTGCTTAATTTTACACTGATATGATAAATTTCATCAAAATTGTTTGAGCGATTTTCGAGATAATCGTGAAAATGTGTTTTGTCCATTATATAAAGTGCCACTTCCGATTAGCCGATTTTGACGAAAAAGTTGCTGGAACATCCCTAGCATATAAAAACCTTCAATATGCAATTTCACTTTCGTAAGACTTTTCGTTTTTGAGCTAGACTGTTAACACACACACATACCATTTTGTGGGACTTGGTTATTTGGATTCAGGGGATCTCGAAACGTGTATTTCTGTTGAAAACTCAGATTCGAAAATTTTCACGATCGCAATACTTTCTCTTACTATATATTACATATATAGGTAAGTGAAAGTAATATTCAACTTAATTCTATTAATTTACTAATTTTCCTTACTTAAATAATTAAATATAAATTAATTCTAGCTCTAGATTAATCGAGTCTTTCAGTTGGCAGAATGACTAAGTCCGATTTCAACATTTTTGATTATTAATTTTATTTATATTGCTGGTGGGCTAATTTATACATGTATTTACAGTTCAATGTTTCAATATTGCAACCACCTACTCTGGAATCAACTTACTCACTGTCTGAAAAATGTTGAAATTTGAGTTGGTCATTCTG